TATATTATATTATATATATTATATAATATATTTATAATATATTATATTATATTATATAAATATATTAATTGCAATAATATAATTTAATCCATTAAAATATCTATATATTCATATATATATGTGTGTGTGTGTAAATTTATTTATTATTTATATAACATATAAATCACTTAGAGTTGTACTGTTTAATATAGATGATGTTATTATTATTAAGATCAAGGCTAGCATATAATCATGTGTATCACCTTGGAAACCGCTTGCAGCTTGAATAGTAGACCGAGACTAGAGAATATACTACGCCGCGTAATAGTATCTGTGTCGTTGAATTCATAATAATTCATTCTTGTTCTTTGATATAAGAACAAGTGCATGTCACAGTAAAGAATATCGAAATTTTGATCTTCGACATAGAGAAGACTGCTAATAACGATTCAAAAATTATGCAGATGAGATTTTCAATTATATAATTGATGGAAATTTTTTTTTTTTTTTTTGAACATTTCTAACAAATCAGGATGAAATTGTAGGATCGTACAGGAACGTTGCGAAACGAGTAATATTGCAATAATAAATACGTAGTTTCTAAAAAATATACATGTTGTCGATGCAATCAATCACTGATACAATTATAATTGATCACGTTGTCATTTCACGATCAATTATATCAATAATAATCTTTACAATGATTTGCATTATTTTTCTCGTTCATTAATCAGTTGTTTATCATTTGATTAGTATCTTGATTTCGCATTAATCAGATTTGTTCAACTTTGTTTTATATTATGCGATCTCTTTCGATCAAAGTCAAAATCCTGGGGAATCAAATTTGTAACATCAAAAAATGTAATTATAGATTCTATAATTTGCTGCTAGGAAAAAGTAAACTGTAAACGAAGGGGAAAGTTTGTCGAGTTGGTTAATTTATTCGATGGAAAATTTAATAGAATTTCATCCTGCCTGTGATATTTTTCACTGTCATTTTTAAATAACGCATTAAATTACGCTACGAACAAAAAAAAAAAAAAAAAGATCGAATCAGTTTGATATAAAAAGCATTAGATACATAACAATCCACCGATATTCGTCGAGGAATTTTCAATCTTTGAAAATCGGTGCGGCACGAAGATTACTCGAGGTGAATTATTCGCAGGACTGAAATCAAAATTTTGCTAAATTTATTAATAGACGACATTCTACGCAGATAGAGCCGTTATCGCAACACCTTGCCTTCCTGGAGCCAGAGAAATGGAAACCACTGAGACCGAGACTGTCGCCGGTGTTCACGTCCGGCAAGTTGAAAGAGATGTTCCCCCTCGTCACGGAATGCGCGGGAAATTTTGAAAATCTTCTACGCAAAACAGCGGACAGCGGCGAGCCAGTGGAATGCCGTGAAATGTTCGCGAAATTCACGACCGACGTGATCGGCAGCTGCGCGTTTGGGATCAACATGAACGCACTTGAGGACGAGACAAGTGAATTTCGAGTGATGGGCAAGAAATTGTTCGACAGAAGCTTGAAACGAATAGCTCGTGAGTGTTGCAGGCAATTTGCTCCATCGTTGTTTAAAATGATTGGCGGTTACCTCCAAACGAAAGAAATCGACGACTTTTTCATCGGTCTGGTACGCGACACGATGAACTACAGAGAGCAGAACAACGTGTTTAGGCCAGATATGATTCACATGCTCATGGAACTGAAGAAACATCCAGAGAAAATAGAGAACGTAGGTGGGTTCGCAGTTTAAAGCAAGTGAAACAGCGGGGGAAAAAAAACATATTAACCACGGATTCGTGTAACAAATTCATCGAAGTCTGTTCGTGACTTTTCATACACAATCTATCATTGTGATAAAACAATAGTGTCAAATTTGGTAAGCTACGAGCTTGAAATTCATGTTTAAACGATTTAATCATCCTATTAAATCTAGCAAATCTGGGTCGTTTATGATTACTTTTTTTTTTTTTTTAAATTTCAAAAAGATCTGAAAAAATTCTGAGATAGTTAATGAAGTTTCTGCCTTCATGCGCAATCGAAATATTAAACGAAACAAAATCGTGTGTTTTACAGAATTGACCGACTCGCTGCTCGCCGCGCAGGCGTTTGTGTTCTTCGCGGCTGGATTTCACACCTCCTCGTTGACGATGGAACACGTTCTGTACGAATTGGCGCAACACCAGGACATACAGGACAAAGTGCGACAGGAAATTAGAAATGTACATAACAAGTCCGGTGGAACGTTGAATTACGCAGATATCAAGGATATGAAATACCTGGAGAAAGTGTTTAATGGTGTGTACTAAAATTTTAACGAGTGATCAATATTTTTGCGAATAGAATTGAGAAAATAGAATCTCGATAGAAAATTGGTGATATTCATCGAATATTATTTTACGTATTTTATAGTACTTGCATATCTCGTGCAGTAGTGCACAATTGTATACATTTCCTGCAAATGTATAAAAATCCAATCTTTTTGCATTCCAATTCCTTTTTTGCCTAAAAATTCAATCCAAACGAACAGAACATTTATTCGTGTATAGGTGTTGCATCTTTTTTTTTTTTTGCTAGTTTATTTTATATTGTAAGAAATTATTGATATACGTGAGACACAAGATTTTGTTAAAAGAACGATATTGAGAACGAAGGAGACTAATTCTGAGATAAATCAAACGTTTCATTTATGAATGACGAAGATGTAGATATAATTTTTTTTTTTTCAAAGTTAATGATGAGGATGTTTTAAGTGCAAAATTGATCTTCGATAATTCGAGGCACAAAAAGAATGTAACTTTATGGAATTATTATATCGTGTTAAAATAATTAATTAAGTCAGTAATAAAGAAAACATAGTGTTTCCAAATATTAAAATAAACTGATGATTTTCTCGATCTCTAATTTAATTTAATTATTATAAATGTAGTTTTATTCTTCGAAAATCCCAGCAAACACGTGGGAAACTCTACTGTAATCTACAATGTAAGAAAAAAGAAATATGACTATAAAAAATACTCGCATACTCTTATATTTATTATGAAACTTTTACATACTAATTAATTTTCTGCATGCACACCAAATCTTCGTATCATTTACTAATATAGTTTCGTACAACCTTGGTAACAAATGTTTCATTGAAAAATGGAGTGACAGTATTTGCAAATACTTTCGAATCGATTCGATTCTTGTGAACTGAAGCTGAATGGCAATTTAGTTTAACGGAATAAATATTCACTGTCCACTTTTTTCGCAGAAACACTCAGAAAGTATCCAATAGCGCCAAGATTAGCGAGAGTAGCAATGGAAGACTATACGTTCAAGGGTACAAAACTTACTATATCAAAGGGGACAAAGGTAGTGATACCGGTATATGGATTTCACTACGATCCAGATATTTATCCAGATCCTGAGAAATTCGATCCAGAAAGATTCAACGAGGAAGCTGTTGCTACGAGACATCCCATGTCTTATCTACCTTTTGGCAGTGGACCCAGAAACTGCATTGGTATGTTAACAAACTATTAAAATTCTGTTTTGTTAAAGTTCTGCTGCTTATTTATCAAAAGAATATTACGAATTAATATGGTGTAGAATTTATTAATTATTCAATTCTTAATTAAAATTTCATCATTCTTATATCAAACGAATGTTATTCAATTATTAATTTGAATTTTGCCCATCCTTTTATTAAAAATTAATTAATTAATTATTTATCTTCTTTTATCAAAAGAGTGTGAAGAATTAATAATTTATTTAATTTTTAACAGAATAATCTTAAGAGTAAATTACTCATTTAACTCTCTACCAAAATTATTTTCTCGAAAAGAGTAAGAATTAATTAACTATATAATTCTCAAAATTAATTAAACCATAGAAGACGTATATGATTTCTTTATTTAAAATTATTCTGTATTATATTTGCATTATACGAAATATTGAAGACGAATAATTTTTTTATGATGATTTTCAGGTGCCCGTTTCGCACACTATCAAAGTATGGTTGGTCTCGCAACGATCCTTCGCAATTACAAAGTCGATGTTTGCGAGAAAACTATGATCCCTTACGAACTTGATCCGCGAATACCTATTCTGACACCGAAAAGAAATATATATTTGAAGTTAAGCAAAGTGGCAAATTAATAACAGAAGTTTCACTCGTGCGTGCAATGATCTGACGCAACACTAATTAGCTACTCGAGGAACAGTTCTGAACAATGTTATGTGAAATTTCGTTTTACCGAAAGACATCAATCCTTAACTTAATATCATTCGTCAATGATTATTTGATTCGATTGAATTTTATTTGTTTCTAATGTTAATTAGTATTTAATGTTATTAATTTTATTAATATGAAATTAATAAATAATTGATAATTTTACTAGTATGAAATCTCAGTTATAAAACCGATGTTAATTAGTATTTAATGTTATGTAATGTGAAATCTCAGTTGACTCTTGACGAGACACTGAATCTTCTAACTCTATACTATTACCATGTTTAAAACATTACAATTGGCACCATTCATTTAAGGAGTGTGCAATATTCTTATGTATATCCTGCAAATGAGTTGATTTTCTAGGATAATTTATTTCAAGGATAAACGTTTACATGTACCAAGTAGTAATTTTCAATTAAAATTTTCGAAAAAAATATTTCCACCGATAATACAATCTTCTTTTCCATATCACGTATAACTGTGTGATAAGACTAACCTTGCATACAATATCGTACCGAGAATATATTAAAGTGTACAAAAAAATCGACATTGATAAATACATGTCAGTGAAAATTTTTCAGCGATCAAGATTGTTCCGCGACAAGCAATAAATCGGCTGTTTTCTTGTTCTTGGTACACACTAATCGAGATTTGCGATGTAACCAGACACATAATTGCTTTATTAAAGTGTTCGGCAGATTTCTTCAATCGGAGGAAATTAACAATTTTTTCATCAATCTGGTGCGAAGCACGATGCAGTACAGAGAGAAGAATAACATAAATAGACCAGACATGATTAATATGCTTATGGAACTGAAGAAACATTCAAATAGAGTGAACAGTATTGGTGAGTAGGCAATTTAACTCTACTGGTATTACTGAAAATGAAGTCGATAGAAATTTAGTATTAAATCGCCTGATTTTGGAACTTTTTACTAAATTCAATTCCATTATTGATATCTGTCACGTACAAAATGAAATTTAATACGAAATACAAGATCTTGGTGACCCAAAATAAGTTACTATAGTCAAGAACTCAACAATGCTCTTTGCGCATTGATATTATATCATTATTAAGGCAAACGAAATCATAGAAAGCACCTGATTACTGCAAATAAAATTCCTCACAGCATTATTTAAAAAACAATATAATATGATATTCAGAATATTTATAATGATCACTCTAATTTCCATTTTCTAGATTCGATATATTTCATCCATTGTAAAATAATCATGTAATAATTACAATTCAAATCCTCAGTTGATCACTGTTGATAATTCTACTGTTCATGTTCTATCCTAATTGAAATTTTTCACACAAGTGTCTGTTCCTTTAGCGAGAACTTTAAATTAAACTTACAAGAATATACTCTGAAATTTGACACAATCTATTTTCTTATAGCAAAGTAGTTGATGAAGCACCTATCATCAGTATTTTCGAGTTTCAAATCGCATAATTTAAATCTATTTTAATGTAAAATTAACTAGATGATGTTAATTTTTAAATATTTTCTCGCTAATGTTCATTCTTATTTTAACACTAGAACTAAACAACAGCTGAAGTATAAATATCTTATATTAAAGAAGTAAAATGCAAAAGGTAGGAAAAAGTTTGTAACATGATAAAAAGAAGCACAAGCTGTCAAAATAAAATTCAATTCATTTTAGAAGTGCTAAATATATAAAATTTCTGAATGAAAATTCCACTGATAAAACAAAATACACTTGATGTATCTAATTCTACTGATTATCTACTAGATTAATAGCAAAAAGAAAAGAAATTGCTTTCTTGTAAAGTTATTCTATTAAGAATTATTTTTAATATTACTCGCGATCGATCATCACGATGCGTTAGCAAAAGATTGAAATGAGGCTGTTCATAATTTATATTCATTGAGTCCACACTTAACAAGTATGAAATTTCATACATGAGATCGAAGTAAATACTCATCGTTATCGAGAAATTCAATTCTCAATTAATCAGAATGACTCTTAAAATATACTGTTTTCAATGACAAGATTAGTTTACATTGTTATTATTATTGTTAAACTTATCTCGTTATTATGATAATATACATCTTTCAAATTAATAAATCTTATATAACAGATGTCAATTCGATATAATTCGAATTAAAGTCAAAAAAGCAATATAGGAAATAAATAAATAAGTAAAATACAAACTGAGAAATAAATAAGAAAACAAAAGTCTTGAATTTCTAGGTTTTTAAGACCAGAGGATTTTACCCTACTCGCTTTTCAATTTATTAAGACCTTTCAATTTATTCAAGTTTCAATTATTATAGTAAAAATAGACTGTGGATTTTTGTGCAGTTTTAATTTTTTTTTTTTAACAACATAAAAGTGGAAGTTGAATAGAAATCGTTTTATTTATTACGATAATTATGATTTTGCATATTATATGCAAATTTCTGCAATTTCGCATAAATGCAAGTAACGTTGACAATTCAGTTTTACGATATGAATGATAATTTGAATAAGTGATTCAACAATATAATCTTTCTCAATCATTTTATAGAACATGCTTGTGTAAAAGAAGAAAAAGGCGCGGTTGAATGTCAGTAATTAGTAATTACTCTATAGCGTTGTAAATACCAAGAAGGACATTAAAATGGATAAAAATTTCTTTTTGTTTTGAAAAAAAACTTTATAAATACATATGTATAATTATATTTTGCAAATGCGAATTTACTAAATGAATTTCTATTAAAATATAAATAGTGAAAAGAAACTTTAAAATACACTGACAGAAACATCAAATAGAGAGTACATATTTATACAGAATATGACTACATAATCAGGCAGAATAATTTCGAAACAAAATAAATTGCTATTAACTACATTCTTAATGATATATTATTAGATCGGAGTTTTTTTCACCAATATAGGAAAAGTCAAACTACTTCGTGTAAATTCTCCAAAAGCGCAAATATAATAAATTTTATCAGACAA